CTTCACGGAGCTTACGAACCCGAGAATTTTTTTGAACCCGGGTTCCATCGGGTTCATATATTGTTTAAAATCATATATTAGGATATTTGTATAATTTTAAATAAAAATATTAATAATTTAATTGAAATTTTATAATATTTTCAAATTTCAATAAATTTTAAACAACTTAATTCATTTTAGCCATTTTTAAATTTTTTTAAATTTATTCTCAGTATTAATAAATTTTAAACAATTAAATTAATTTACGCCATTTATTTTAAATTTTTAACTTATTTTAAAAATAAATATACAAAACAAAAAATAACAAAAAAAAAGAAAAGTAAAAAGATTGGATCAGGTTTTTTACAGGTATCGGCCCGATCCGATATTTTTGGGAAACGCTAAATATTGGTACCGATTAGATCCGATATTTAATATCGGCACAGCCCTATTAATGATTTTTTCCCCATAATTTCGTTAAACTGAGCTATGGCAACCTTTTCCTAATCAATGTTTAATAGGATTTTATATCTGGGGTCGAAATATAGTGATGCATAAAGAATATCCATATTTAAATAAGTATCCTCTTTAAATCTCATATGCCCTAATATTTCATTGGAAATATCATAGACTATTTTTTAATATAATACTACATTTTAAACGTATTTTTTTTTAAAATTAATCCCAAATTATTATTTTTTTTAAAAAAAAAATTTGGACCCTGATCCCTAAATTTTAAAATAGGTTTTGGTTCAGTGAATTATCGTGTTGATTTTAAATAAAATAAATAATAAAAATTTTCAGAATAGGCTAATTCCCGCAATGAAATAAATGCAAGAAAAACTTAAAATAAAATATATCAATTGAAATAACAGTGACAGATGCGTCAACCAAGTTTATTTCAAAATAAAATCATTCATGACATATCACCAATTTTTTTCGAATTCAGATTCAATGGAGGATGCTATATTAAGGTTGATATTCTTTATACTCTTCATATTTTCTTTCCCTATGAAATTAGTTTGTTACAGGCAGTGGCGTAGCTACGGGGGTAGTTTTCGGGTTTGGACCCCTCCAACAGCAAAAATTTCTTTTTAGATTATACGTTCAAAAGACTTAAAAGTGACTTTATATCAAATAAATACCATTAATATTTATATTTTTCTGGTTTTGATGTTTGTGGAAGGATATTATTATTGAAATTATTGTGGATAGTATTATTATAAATTAATTGAGAATAATCTACTAAATTTTATAACATATTATTAATGCATTTAAAAAATATATTTATTATATATTATCGAAGATATGGTTAGGATTTGTAAGATAAATCCGGCCGCAGGCCGGGCAAAAGGGCCGAAGGCCCGTTATAGGGGGCCTGGGGGGCTTCGCCCCCAGGCTTTTATATGTATGGACAACCTTTAAGAAAAATCCCTAGCTACGCCACTGGTTACAGGACTTTGCACCCTCTTAAAAAAAAGGGTTCGAGTTTAGATTGCAAAAAATCTTTGATCAAGTTTGGACAGTGCCCAGAAAAATAAAAACTTTGTAAAATTTATTTAAAATAGCAGATACATAATTTTATTTTAAATTAATCTTTATTATATTTGGTTTTAGAATTTACCATAAAAATATTTTTCATTCGGAGTTTTGGTGATCATCACTTAAAAAAAAAATATGAAATATATATTACATTCTAGGGCCATAATTTCATAAAATTAGACATTGTTTACTCTATATCTTATAAATATAAACCATTATCTACTATAATTCAGGGGCGGACTGGGAGACTAAAGGCCCCGTGGGAGATTTCTAAGAGAGGCCATATAGTTAAGGGGATTCGCCTCCCAAACCCTCAATCCCCCCCCCCCCTTTACAGGCCTTGATCAAGAATAATTGAAATAGAATAAATTTTGCGTTTTATATGTTGCATTTTAAGGTTTTCTATTTTATGACCTATTGCGTTTTAATTGATCGCGTTTTATATTTATTTATTTATTTTCTCTCTTTAACTTTCACCTTTTCTAGTGGTAAGCTTATTTAATATCTCTTTCCACATGTTATTCATACTTATCTAATTTATACTTCTTCATATTGGCTCTAACTTTATGGCCCCAGTGAAGTTTTGACTTTCCTCATAAGTTTACCCATCACTTCCAAACTCTCAACCTTATTTACTCTGTAGTTCATAGGCCTTCTCATTGTGTGCACATACCACCTAAGTCTGTTCACTATTTTATTTACAGATAAGAAATAATTTCAGAATTTTAAAAATCTCTGAGAAATTTTTTTAAAAATTTTAAGAATGGGGATTAATGAATTTTCTGATTTAGAACGCCTAAAATTTATAAACATATTAGATATTACATTATCTTATATATAATTATGACAAAAAAAAATCTATTTAAATATAGGCATCGGGGACGTTAGGGGTAAATATCGGATTAGATGAAATAATTGTGGATTGGTGTAACCCTACTTATTAGATAAATACCAGAGGGGATAAATTATTTTTCAGAAATCATATAATCAAATAGATTTTTGGATATTTTGAATAAAAATCGCAGTTTTTTTTTTTTAGAAATTAGACTAATAGGGGGTAGTTTGTGAATTAAAAAAAAAATATTTATATAAATATTATTTTACCCAATGTTGTGTGCCTACTCTGAATATTCGCACAAGGGTTTAGGGTAGTATTGTTAAACGGCTCGTTTTGAGCCGATTTTTAAAAACGGCTAACTCAATATTTTAGACTGAAAAATATTGCTTAGGCCTCGAAATTTTGCTGATAGTTGTCCAATCTTTGTTCTTTCTATAAACAAAATCTTCAGGCTTGCGTGGTATTATTCTAGATAAAATGTTGAGTTAGCCGTTTTTAAAAATCGGCTCAAAACAAGCCGTTTAACAACACTAGGTTAGGGCACTCACTTTTTCATAAAGCCAAATTTGAAATCAATATTTTTATTATTTGGCCATTTTATTTGATATCAATAAATTTTATTTAGTCAATTTTAATAGAACATTGGTATAATTACGTTTTATAAAAATCATATTTGATTTAGGTAGGAATGCGGTTTAAGGTAAAAAAAAAATAAGTGAGTTTGGTTCGGGTTCGGTTCAAGGAAATATTTTTGAACCCGGGTTTGGTTCCGGGTTCAGCTCGGGTTTAAGAATGTTTGAATTGATAAAAAAAATTCTCTTTTTAAATCTTAATTAAAAAACTAGACATTCGGGAATATATGATAGAACTAATTAATATCATACCAAGTGATGCAGTTATTGTTATGGACAATGCATCGATCACCTGCCCCTTTCCTATATTTCTAGAATAACGAGTATTATTTATTTCGTCAATATAGATAATTATATTATCCTAAATTTATATTTTAATCCTTTCTTCACCGATGCCGCACAAATTATATTTTATGCAATAATCAATTATATTATAAACAGCATTATTATATCTATATCGTAAAATTATGATTTATAATTATGCATCAATAAAAAGAATTACTCTCGTTATTAAATAGTCTGATCAATATAAATTTAAAAATTACTAATTTATTTACTAAAATGAATACAATAAAAAAACACCTGGTAGACATTTTAATGTATCTTGGTAAAATGAGTCAAAATTGACCAATCCAAATTTTTTTTTTAAAATTTGAATGATATAAAAATATTAAAAACGTTATCTAGCTAGAGAATAGAAAAATATTTTTTAATATCATGAATGTAAAAAATTATGAGTAAATTTTATTTTAATATATTGAAGCTATAATATCTGAAACAGAGTCCATATAATAGTTTGTTTATTCAGCAATCATCTTCCCTTTTATCAATCGATTCACGTGTGTAGAGGTGAATTTTCAGGATATCATCTTTGTTTTATTTATGTTTATTTCTAAACCGAAGAAACTGGCTTCTATGATAATACTATTTATTAGGATTGAAGATCCAATAATGATTTCCAAGTTCCGCAATTCTCTTTTTTTTTAACAAAAAATAAAAATAAAATATGGGTCTTGCATGAAATTTTAATAATAGAATTATCTAAACAGTGTTGTTAAACAGCTCGTTTTGAACCGATTTTTAAAAACGGCAAACTCAATATTTTGGCCAGAAAAATATTGACTTAGCCTCGAGATTTCGATGATATATGTATAGATAGACCTTTGTTCCTTCTATGAGCAAAATCTTCAGGCTAGCATATTATTTCTCTGGATGAAGTATTTAATTAGCCGTTTTTAAAAATTGATGAGCCGTTTAACAACACTAGTTTTAAATCTATATTTAAACGTCGGAAATCATAAAAACATACGCAACCGATACAGAACGCAATTTGTATAGATTATTTGATTAATTGAGTATATTTAAACAATAACCTTATTTAACAGTTTATAACAGGGTTGGCATGTCGGTCAATTGACTGGTCAATTGACCGGAGGAGTATTTGACTGGTCAAATACGGTCAAATACTCTAAAATATTAATGGCGAATAAATATTTTGATATAATTAACTAGTATGCATTAAAAGCATGTTTATCAATCTTATTATTTTTTTATTAAAATATAAATATGTAATTTTTCTAAATATAGTAATATTTTTAGTTATTTTTTTGTCTAATCATTGCCGTTTCTCGCCTTCTTTATTTTTTTCAATTCATTTTTCTTAAAAAAAATAAAAATACCCGATTTATTATAATCATAATATAATTTTTTCATTCTTATTTTTTAATAAATTTAAATTTTATTTAATATTTAGCCGAGTATAAATTATATTAATTCTCATTTGTTTTACTTACACTTGCTATATTTGGTTTTTAAAATTAATTTTCATTTTAATTGTTCTAGTCAGATTTACGGAATATTATTCAATTCTGGTAAAAAGTTTATTATATTATATTTATAATATTAAGAAATTATTGGAATAATTGGTCGATAATTATAAAATAGTTAAGATTGATTAACTTCACAATAATCAAAATCATTTTTTGTTAAATTTTAATATATTAGGGATTATGGTCAAACCAAAGCATCATGTTTGGAAACATTTTCAAGAAGTACGCGATGGTAAATCAGTTAAAGCGGTGTGCAAGTTTTGCAAGATGTCCTATATCACCCACGTTGATAGAATGGTCAAACATTTATTAAGCAGCTGTACTATGTGCCCTGTTATAATTAAGGAAAAATTTTATTCAAATTCCAAAATATCAACCTCTACAAAAAATATCACAAATGTAATTTGTAATACTTCTAAGTCTAACTCTAATGAAGAATTGGGTGAAATTAGTGAGAATGATTATCAAATGAACAATATTTTGTCTTGTGACTCAGGAGAATTTGATTCCCTTATTTCTAATCAATCTACAAGCAAGGCGATTAAATATAAATCTCAATCTTGTATAACCGGTTTCATAGATAGAATTAATCCCAAAGAAAAAAATGAGCTGGATCAATTGTTTGCAAAGGCTGTATATGCGAGCAATTTACCTTTCCACATCACTGAAAATCCCTACATCCAAGAATTTTTTAAAAAAATACGTCCTATTTACACATTACCCAGGAGAAGGCAGCTGGCTGGATATCTTCTAGACAAAGCGTCAGGTGATATGGAGGTGAGAGTTGCAGATATAATAGATAAAGCTCCTTACTTATCAATTGTATCAGATGGCTGGAGCAACATTAGAAACGAGAGTATTATTAATTTTATGGTGATGACGCCTGTTCCAGTGTTTTACAAATTTCTAAATACTGAGGAAAATCGCCATACGGCAGATTATATTGCCCAGGAATTTAAAAATGTAATTCATGAATTGAATCCGGTAAAAGTATATTCTTTAGTTACTGATAATGCCGCTAACATGAAAGCAGCCTGGAGAATTCTAAAATCTGAATCTATTTATAATCATATACAATGTTATGGTTGTGCAGCGCATACATTGCAGTTATTCTTTCACGATTTTGAACGATTGGACGCCTTCAGTGACCATATTTCAATAATTAAAAAAATTGTTAAATTTTTCAAGAATAAACACATACCAGCTGCAGTATTTTCCCGTAATAAGAATCTTCATGGCATACCATCTACATTAAGTACAATTAGCCAAACAAGATGGGCATCGTCAATAAAATGTATGGAGCAAATTCAAATATGCAAGAAAGCTCTAAAAGCATCAGTTGTTGAAGAAGCTGTTTGTGATAATTGTCCCATAGAAATTACCAATAATATATTAAACGAAGTATTTTGGACGAAAAATTTAAATTTTTTAGCTATACTCCAACCTTTAGCTACCTCATTGTTGAAAGTGCAAGGGGATAAATGTACTTTGGCCCAAGTAAAAAACGAGATGCTCTGGAAAAACACATAATACAATCATGCCATGATTCTATATTTTCTCCATCTCAAGAAAAAAAAATTAAGGTTATGTTTGAAAAGAGAAAAACTGATATAAATACATGTGCTCACAATGCTGCTTATTTATTGGACCCCCAATATCAAGGGGAGCATCTTACTAATACTGAATTTGATGAAGCATGTAATATAATACAAGAATTGGGTATTTTACAAGGTGGTGATAATCAAAATATTTTGAGTAATATAGTAAATTTCAGAAGCAAAAGCGGTATATTTAATAGCCATAATATGTGGAAAGTTGTAACTACCATAAGAAACAATCAAATTTCGGCCTCAAGTTGGTGGAATGCATTTTGCCCACCTTGCCCATTAAGAGAAGTCGCTAATATTTTACTAACATTTCCTAGTTCGACTTCTTCTTCTGAAAGAAATTGGTCGGTTTGGGGCAATATTCACACTAAAAACAGAAATAGATTAAAGGCTTCTACAGCAGGAAAATTAGTAAGAGTGTATCATAATTTAAGATTGATTAAAAATATTAAAGAAAATAATGATATTGAATATGAATCGGAACAAGACTCTGCCACGGATAGTGAAACATTGACTATAGAATGAATTAAAAAAATATTATGATATTTATTATTATACATAGATTTATTATAATATTATATAAATGCAAAATAAAGTTAATATTGGTGTAAAAAACATTTATTTGAATTTAACCATATTTGACCGTATTTGACCATATTTGACCGGTCAAATATCGGTCAATTGACCGAATTGTATTTGACCGGTCAAATGCACAACCCTGGTTTATAATATGTTATTATAATATATCTATTGGACCCAAATCACTTTTCTTTCTTATTTCCTTTAATTGTCATCTGTTTTTCTTCTTCTTAATTTGATGAACAAATTATTTTAGGTACTGTCCCGGATCAAAAAATAAACTAATATTGTGCAATACGCAAAGTTAATTACCACTTCCACTAAGGCGACATTACTATGATAAGAGTATCCTTTAATCTTAATTCATATTCAAATGCTCTCAGAAATAAATTACCATATAATTAACTATACTTATTTTTTGACGCCGAAAAAAGGGATTATAATTATAGAAATGAATTATAATAATTTATTGAGAAATAAACAATTTAAGTAAGGGGGTTTATTTGCCAAAAAAATAATGAAATAGATATCAGATAATTAATAATTTATATTGAGTTTCTCGAATCGAGAAAATATAAAGAGATAATTAGGGCATAATAATAAGGGGGAAAAAAATATAAAAATAAACCTAGTTCGGATTCGAATCAAAAAATGAATATTTTTATAAAGCCAAAATAAAAAATGAAAAATTGAAACAATAGACTATAACCCCAACTCAATTTAAAATTTCTGCGATACATTATAAATTACATAGATTTTAAAAGATAAATTTATATTTTTATGTTAAACAGCAAATTATGAAATCTGAAATAATTTCATGCAATGAATCACGAGGAAAAAAAAAATTGGCTTGGTAAATAATATTAATAATATAACTTAATTATTTCAGTTAATATGAACTTGGGGGGTGGGGGGGATATTGATACAAGAAAAATATTTTGTTAAGATCTTTCCGCTCTCTTAACCTGCAAATAAAGCAGGAAAAGCTAATTCCAAAATGAGGACAGGAGATTTAGGTTCCCCCCCTCTTACTAGTAGCTACATCATTATAATAACGATTGTTTATTTTTATAAAACTATGAAAGCTAAATAACGACAATACTAAACCCAAGGTTTCCAAATTTCGGATTGCTTTAGCATTTTTTAAAAATTCTATAGAATTAAATACAATTCATAATTCAATATTTAAAACTGCTCTAACATAATATTGATATTGTACAAATCAAAAAAAAATAATATAAGATCGGGGTTAAATATCTTTTCATTAAATATGGTAAGCTAAATAGCGACAATACTAAACCCAAGGTTTCCAAATTTCGGATTGCTTTAGCATTTTTTATAAATAATTAAATACAATTCATAATTCAATATTTAAAACTGCTCAAACATAAATCGATATTATACAAATCAAAAAAAAATATAAGATCGGGGTTAAATATCTTTTCATTAAATATAATCTAAAAATTATGACAATAATAAAAAATAATATCCATGTTTAGTAGAGTGCTGTAAAAGAAACGACGACAGATTAATCGTTACTTATGTGTTACTTTTTGTTTCAAAAATAAAATAACCCGTTAGTTTTTAATTTGAATAATGATAACGCAAAAAGTTACTCGTTACTTTAAATATGGAATAAATATATTTTGTCATATATATTTTTTAAAATTTTATAAATAATGTAGGCCGAGTTTTCAATTCAGATCAACCACCCCAAAATTCGCTTAATGTAAAACGGTGCAAATTTAACATGTAGCAATTTCGATCAAATTTATTTAAAATGCAATATAAGATAAAGGTAATTTTTTTTATTCGATAAGGATCTGAATGGAGTTTCTTGTGATGATAATTAATAAGTTTTTTTTGAAAATGAAGATTAATCCTTAAGCATTTTAAATAAATTTCCCCAATTAAATTTTTTTTTATTCATTAAACATAATACACTCTCCCATCCATTACGCTAGTTGAACGTGTGTTTATTCCAGCCCAGCTGTGTTGATTACTAAGAGCTCCTGTTTATCTGATCAATAAAATCAATTGTTGTTTAAAAATAAATTAAAAATGATTACGTAATTTATCTTATAATATATATTATTTTTATTATATATATATATGGGAGGTAAAAAAAAAGTTATTTGATATGTAGTATTATAAGTAACGAGTAATGTGTTACTTTTCTTTGAGTAACGGGTCATTTTTTTCAAAAGGTAGCAAATGAAGGTGAAGAGTTACTCATTTTGCAAGGCAAAGAAAAATTTTGCGCGTTATTTTTTGATGTATCATTTGTATTACTAATATTTTGTCTAATCATCACTCTTTAACCCAAAATTTAAATCAAATTTATATCTATGATAGTATTTAAGATATATCAGTTTCTATACATGTCAATTTTTAGGTCAGTTAATAAGACATAATTGAAAGACCCCAAATACCTATTTTTTTTTGAAACCCATTGTTATTATATACACCTTTCTGCTGTAAATTTATTTAATTATGAAAAATAAAATAGATAAACAGACCTAGAATAATATATTATTAAAATGATTTTAATTACCAAATTTAAAAATGAATAAAATTATTTATTAAAATATTTATTAACTGGTATCTTTTAGTTTTAATTTAACCAAAATATCTAAAATAGAATATATATATCTAGTTATTAGGCTTAAAAGATTTTGGTAAACCATTATTATCTGAATTCTCATTTTATTTAAATAATTGGCGTGAACAATAAGATAAAAAAGGAACTATTGACCAGTTTGTGCAATCGCCTTCTATTATCATAAATTATATTATAAACAGAGCTTTTAAGTATCAATTTATTTTATCAAAATTGTTTAAAGTTTAAGGATTCCATCACTGTAGATTAATTAGGTAGAAAAAAAGTTAAAAAAATATTATATCGTTGGATTTGGTATATCAATAAATTAACATATTCCAAATGCTGGTAGCTAAAAAAATACATTAATTAATTTTGAGGTAAATTAATTGAATAAATAAAAAGTTGCGAGGGTGTGGCCTCTCTGAATCCTGTTCTCTCCTGAGCATATTATTGACAACGTTCAAAAAAATTAGCTATAAAGCATTCTCTAATAAATAAATTTTAATAATGATAAATTTATAACGGAAGAAAAATTGCTATTCATTATTTAGAACAACTTAAAATTATGCAGAAATCCTAGGTAAAGGTTATTTATACATTTAGATCATAATCTTTTATATCATAATATAAATAGAGTTTAAGTATAAAATTGTCTCTACTTAAAAAAAAGAAGATTTAATAAATTATTAATAATATTGGTATGATCAGGAACTAATCAATATATATTTTTTCCCAACACAAATTTTTGTTCGATAAATAAATTTTTTTTTTTAAAAATATTAAATGATTATCACACTATAATTAATTCGGTAACGACATAGGGGAATAATTTAAATAGACAATATGGATCGAGAGAGAAACACGATTACCACTGTAATAGGCTTGATTGCAAGAGCGCTCAATTACGTCAGCTCAGTCGGTAATTGCTTATGCGTTTTTTTCCTCCTTTACTTTTGCCTACGGGACAGGATTCAAAGACGATTATTTCCGATTGGTAAAAGAATACAGATGTTAGGAAATAAAGCTAAAGAGAGAAAGATTAGTTCCACTAGGTATATTGATAATTTTTTTTTTCATCTCATTTTATAGGTGTTTAGATAAATATATTATATTATATTATTAATCATAATAATTTTTTCAAGTGAGTTCTATACACAAGTGATTCTTCCCCCTTTACCTTTAATTGTTGTCAATTATTATATATTGCTTTTATTTAATAATTATTCAAATATTTTAGTTTAATGAATATTGCTTATAATTGTTATATCGCTACAAAAGACATTGGGTAGTCTTGCTTCATTTAGTCGTTATCTTAAATCTAATGCTCAACTTATCTAATTTTACCACCGGTTTGATCAAAAAATCACCAAAGTTGTGCCGTTTAGGCGTTTGGCCCCCAGTTGTGATCACGGTCTTTAATAGGTAAATAAAATTAAACGAAGTTATTTTTCGAACCAGGAATTTTTAAACTGGATCCCCATAACTAGTTATCAGCTAGGTTAATAGTTCCCCTCCATTTATTTCCCATGTGAATGAATATGGATACAATAAAAATTACAAACGAGCAATTTTATACATAATCTTTATTCACAATAACTTATAGGTATGTAGTCCTGTTACTTGTGTTAGATCGTCTAATAGGCGTGACATGGTACGAAAATTATAGGCATTACGTGACTTCTTGGAAAGTGTACATTACTCTCATGGCTACATTTGTCATGTGTTTCGCGCTTTCCGTGTTT